AGCACCTCTAGCACCTCCAGTACCCCCAGCACCAGCAGCTCCACGACCTCCAGCACCAGCAGCACCTCCAGTACCTCCAGCACCTCCAGCACCTCCAGCCCCAGCAGCTCCAGCACCGCTAGCACCGCCAGCACAAGCAGCTCGACAACCGCCAGCACCAGCAGCTCCGGTACCTCTAGCACCTCCAGCACCAGCAGCACCACGACCTCCAGCACCAGCAGCACCTCTAGTACCTCCAGCACCAGTAGCTCCAGGTCCTCCGGTAGGAGCTCCGACGACACCAACACCAGAAGGACTCACAGCACCCCCAGAGTCAGCACCCGAACTCGCAGCACCCCCAGAGTCAGGACCCTCGGTCTCAGCACTCTCAGACCCAGCACCCTCAGTCTCAGCTCCAGTGTCCACAGCAGCAGGCTGCAGAGGCGGCGAAGACGGCAGAGGTGGGAACCCGGGGGGGGTAGCCAGACGAGGAGAGCGGGCACCCCCAGACTCACCACCCCCAGCCCCAGCTCCAGTAGTCTCAGCTCCAGAGTCTACAGCCGCAGGCTGCAGAGGCGGCGAAGATGGCCGTGGCGGGAAACCCGGGGGGGTCTCCAAGCGAGGAGTGCGGCGAGTGGTCGCCGTGTCGTCGGCGACGGCGTCACCCCCCTCAGGTGAGTCAGAGGAGTCAGAAGAGATCTCAACTGGCTCATCCAAGGGGGGTGGGTCTACCTGGGACACACCGGAGGGAGCAGGACCCTGTGGGGGAAGGGGGTCTACCGGGGGGGGGACTGGTACCAGGAAGAGAGGTGCAAGGGGGACCGGGTGGGATGCGTGCGGGTGAAGTCGGTAGTAACAGACCGACTCGTCGAAGGTGACGTCCTGAGAGGACAGAACACGACGCGAGGCAGGGTGGTAGAACTGCCAGGGTGGAGCGTCGGTGGGGAAGCCCAGGAAGACACAGCGGAGAGTGCGAGGAGAGAGCTTGCTCGCTTTGGTATCGCGAACAAGGGAGAGCGCGCCCCAGACCCGAAACGACGACGCATCACCAGGCTGTCCCGTCCAACGGAGTGTGGGCGAGGTCTCTGGAGCAGAGACACGGGGCCAGAGGTTGAGCTGATGCGCGGCGTATCGGACCGCAAACGGCCACAGGAAATGGGGAGCAGCCGCATGGATCATGGAGGTACGAGCAACCTCCATGATCAGGCCAATGCGACGCTCAGTGATCCCATTTTGCTGCGGAGAGGCCGGAAGCGTGAACGACTGGGCGATGCCCTCATCCTGGCAGAACGTCTCAAGGACGCCAGAGGAGAACTCACCACCCCTGTCCGAGTGCAGACGCAAGACTGGGAAGTCCTGCTGAAAGCGCTCGTGCAGCTGGAGACGAGTAGCACGGATCCAGGGGATCAAAACACCGCTGACGTCCGCCTTGCGACGCAAGGGGAAGACTGTGGTGTAGCGTGTGTAGTCGTCAACAACTAGCAGGAAGTAGCGCTCCAGGTCCGTCCCACCGACGGGGGCCGGGCCCCACACGTCCAGGTGGAGAGTCTGCAGAGGAGCAGTGGTCGGAGGAAACTCGGAGGAGTGAGGAGCGGCGCGCTGCCGCCCCTCGACGCAAGGAAGGCACGGCGGCGCAAGCGAGCGCGGGAGGGGGGGCAGTGTCTCAGGGAAGCCAGAGACCAGGAGCCGGGAGTGCATGCCGCGCAGACGCAGCTGCGACGGGTGGCCAAGACGGTGGTGCCAAAGCTGCGCAGGGTGGGTGAGGAGGCGACACGAGCAGGACGCAGCGAGCTGACCAGACGCAGCCACCTGACCAGACGCAGCTACCTGTGCAGACGCTGTGGTGAGTGTGTACAGGTTCGACCCCGACTGCCGTGTGAACGTAGCCAGGTGACGGCCTGTCTTGGCGCATGTGCAGATCGCCACACGCTGACCTCCAGGAGTAAAGGTGTCAACCCATACATCATGGAGGATGGCGTTGCTCACTAGGTTTGTCGAGAACGAGGGGAGGTGGAGACCTGACAGAGAGCTAGAGGGGACAGCTGGGCACGGGAGGACAGTGGAGTGGCGTGTAATCACCGGACCCCCAGAGGGGTATGCCAGTGAGACTGGAACTGGTGTAGTGAGTGGGGTGACAGTGGTGCAGTCGTGAAAGAAGCAACGGGACGCACCAGAGTCAAGCGTGAAAGTGTGCAAGACCTCAGCAGTAGCAGCCGACTCACTAGTACCTGGCGCAGTAGCGACACTAGCACCTAGAGCGGCAGCAGACTCACTAGCACCTGGAGGAGCAGCATCACCACCAGCATCGCACGGCACACACGAGTAACACGCACCCTCAACACTATTATCAGCAACATACATGGCATAGAGGGCAGCATAAATCTTAGCAAAGTCAAGAGCAAACACATCTACCCCCTTCCCCATCAGCTGCAGCCAGTTCGGCACCTCCTGGTCCTCACTGTACTGAGTCACCCAGGCGTCCTCAAGACGGCCAAAACACATGTACTCAGTGTGCGGCTTCCCGCAGACTGTGCCCTTCAGAGGCCCCGTGCGCCGGACATAAGGGCAGCGACCAGAGCCCCCAGAGCCCCCACGCTGGAGAACCCACTCACGGAGCTGCTGGTCGGTGGGGTTGTCCGGGAGGCGCGGCAGCTGCTGACCACTCCCGTAGCCACGGGAGGGTCCACGAGTGCCACCACCCCTGCCAAACCCACCTCGACCACCTCCGCCGCCCTCGCTACCCCAACCGCCTCCCCACCACCGCCGCCTCCTCCACCCTGTCCGCCTCCTCCACTGCCGCCACCCCCAGAGCCACCCCCAGAGCCTCCACCACCCCCGCCACCACCCCCGCCACCCCCCCCGCTGCTGCCACCACCACCACCCTTGCCCCCTCTGCCCTTGCTGTTGTTGCGCCTTCCACTGGGAGCAGACGCAGCGCCAACGTCCTCAGCACCAAGGAGGTCGACTGCAGCAGCGGTAGCAACTGAGGGGAGGAGAGGGGAGGGAGTACACCCTTCAAAGAAGGGGGAGCGGGGAGTGCCACGAGAGGCAGCGACAGCGACAGTGCTCTTCTCAGCCTCGAGAAGGGCCTGCTCAAGAGAGTCAAGTGTGAGCTCAGTGGGGTCCATGGCTAGGAACTGGTCCCTGACAGTGCGAAGGGAGTCAAGGAGGTGAGAGATAAGAAAGTACAGGGTGAAGTACTGCGGGGGGGGGTTCTTAGCAAGAAAGGCCGGCTTGAGAGCGGCACGGAAGCAATCCTCACTAGACCGGAGGTAGGTGAACAGGTCAAAGACAGTGCAGAACTCAGCTAGATTGGGATGCAGGTACGGCAGCATGAGACGGCCTACAGCAGCAGTAGCTGGGGAGGAGTAGCGAGCAACGACAGCGTCATAGAGATCCTTGGCCGTTTTCTGCCGGCTAAAGTGCGCGCGCTCAGTGACGGGCAAGTGGTTGCGGACAGCAAGGCGGGCAGCTGCATCACGCATGAACCACTTAGACAGATCCTCTACAGCGTCGGCAGCAGGGGCTGGGAGCTTTCCCTCAGTGTGCAAAAACAGGGAAATACCATCCTTATACTCGCTCTGCAGGAACAGCTGGAGATCGTCGAGCCAGACATCAAAGGTAATCGCGCGGCCCTCAGCATCAAACGTAAGAACTGACAGGTTTGCCATAGCAGCAGTAGTAGCTGTAGGAACAGTAGTTGCAGCAGCAGCAGTAGTGACAACTCGGGCTAGGCGGCGCGGCTCGGACTGGGCGGCGCGGCTCGGACAGGGCGGCGCGGCTCAGCAGGGCGGCGCGGCTCAGCAGGGCGGCGCGGCTCGAAATGGGCGGCGCGGCTCGAAATGGGCGGCGCGGCTCGGGCTGGGCGGCGCGGCTCTGGCTCAGTGGCGGAGCAGCAGCGGCACGTAGCAGCAGCAGCCGGCGCGCAGCAGCAGTAGGCGCGCGCGGGCTGTGGGCTTGCAAACCAGGGGCGCGCAGCAGGTGCGCGCGGGGCAGCTCAAACGGGGCGCGCAGCAGGTGCGCGCTAGGGGCTGGCGGGCAGTGCGAGTGGCGCGCGCAGCAGCAGGAACGAGAGGGGACCGGGCGCAGGGGCTGACAGGCCGCTCGAGTGGCGCACGGGGCAGCTAGGGCGCGGTCAGGAGGGGTCGCGACTGTGAGAGAAAAAGGAATGGGTGGCCGCGCGGGCCGTTTAGGAAGGGTCGCGACTGTGAGAGCGGGGGCGCCAGCGCGCTGACTACCGTGTAGGAAGTGGCGCTACCTCTAGGCGGAACGGTGGGCCCACGTAGGAACGGTTCCTACTCTGATAACATGTCAAGAACAGAACTAGGAATGAATGTTTGAACTAGGCAAGAGGTGAGTACAAGTAGGGGAAAGCTAACCCTAAAGTGTTGTACTCACTAAGGAGTGACCCTACTGTAGCCTAGAGAGACAATTGTAATTTGACAAGACCCGCATTTGGAACAAGAATTTTTATCCCAGTGGTCTAGTGGCTGGGATTTTACCAGTGGGAACAGTGTCGAGGCGAGTGTCGCGAGTAGTAACGTGCTCTATTGGATGTACACTGGCAAAAATAGTATTGTACGCGAAGTATGCAGTGTGAGAAGAAGTAAGGAAGTTCTGTTATCTTACAAACAAAAGTGAATAAACAAGTTGAAATATCGCATATGTACTGAGATTTCTACTCAAGTCAATTTTGTTGTAGATGCTATTGTTTTGATGTTTTGTTTCGGTCCTCAGTACACGCAAGCTTTTAATGCTTTGATCAGCTGTTGGACGCGCGAAATCAAACCCCAAAAAGTTTCTGGCAGTTAGGGGTGGGCGTTGCGGGCACGAAGCATCGCCTTCTCTGCAAGGCCTATAAACCACCACCTCTCCCCTTCCGTTGGTCTCTTTTTCACTTGGAGGGGGAATCCCGGAGTCCCTCAACGACGGAATAGTCCTGAGAGGGAGCACCGAGGCGCGCGCGGAGGCGATTAAGCGGACGTACAGAGTTTCTTAGTGGGCTTAGACAGTCAGCAGCCATGCAGATCTTCGTGAAGACCCGTAAGCATTTCCTTAGATGGCTCCCTTTCCTCTCGTCACTAGTCCGACCTATCAAATAGTCTGGGGCTTTTTCTCGAATATCTAACTATTTAGGCCCTTTTGCTCAAGTTTTCTAGGATCAGCTTCCCGTGTTGCGTCCCTCCCTAGGCTACTGCGTCGAATCTGTCAAAGTCGTTTTGTCCAAGTGCCTGTTATTTGCATCTCCCTTATTTTTGTCCTCGTAATTAGACTTCGTGTTGATGTCAGAATCCGTTTTTTCCCCGTACCGCTTGCACGTTTTTGTCTTCCGTTGCTTTGTTCTCCCCTGACTTCGTAATCTCCTGAGTCTGTTTTCACCCTTTCGCCTCCTTACCCTACTGTGCTTGCGCAGTGCTTCTTACCTTAGCAATCCGCGAAAGTGTCCATGATCGCGTATCAAACTGCGTTTCCGATCCCTCTTCTGATTTTCTGTTTCTCCTCCCTGGCAGTGACGGGCAAGACTATCACCCTTGAGGTCGAGTCGTCCGACACGATCGACAATGTGAAGGCCAAGATCCAGGACAAGGAGGGAATCCCTCCCGACCAGCAGCGCCTTATCTTCGCCGGCAAGCAGCTCGAGGACGGCCGCACGCTTGCCGATTACAACATCCAGAAGGAGTCCACCCTCCATCTGGTGCTGCGCCTGCGTGGAGGTGCCAAGAAGCGCAAAAAAAAGACGTACACCAAGCCTAAGAAGCTCAAGCACAAGAAGAAGAAGGTGAAACTCGCGGTGCTGCAGTTTTACAAGGTGGACGACAGCGGCAAGGTGCAGCGCCTGCGTAAGGAGTGCCCGAACCCTGACTGCGGCCCGGGTACCTTCATGGCTAACCACTTCGACCGCCATTACTGCGGCAAGTGCGGCCTGACCTACGTGTACAAGAAGGAAGGCGGTGACGAGTAGGGTGGTCGGAGCTGAGCTGTGTGATGGGACTGGGGTTTTGCTTGCTGGGCCGTGTTTAGGCATTGCTTAGCTCGAGCTTGCTCTTTCCCTGTTTAACAGACTTAATGAAAGATGCGATTAAGTCGCTTTTGGTACTAAGCGTGATGCTGCCAGTGTGCTGTGGCAGTCTCCTAGTTCTCCCCTGAGTGGACAGTGGAAAATCAAACATTTGCGTAATAAGGAACAACATAGCAGGCTTGAATGGGACACACTGAGTGCCAAAAACTTGCCGTGAGAGATCAGTCGTTCGCTTGCTAGCATTCTCAGCTGGAGCAGCATCAACTGGATGCTGAAGATGTTAATATCTCATTTCATCACCTCAAGCCTGCTACATATGGGAGGAAACCCACAGAAAGTAGGTAGTGCATACGCCCCGACGTGTTGTGCTGCCTCATCCAGAGCATATACAACCAGCACGAATAAAACAAAGAAATCCATTCTGTCAAAAAGAACATTCCAGTCGAGCCTGAGGAAAAAACGAATTGCAGAACCCAGCAGCAGATACCCTGCTGTCACATTAATTGCTGCCCTGCCACCCTAGCTGCTGGTGCTGTTGCTGTTGCTACAGCCGCCAGCAGTACTATGAGCCTTGCTCCTCTGCTCTTCTGCCATCTGCCCCCACTTTCTCTCCCCTGGCTGCAGCTGCAGCAGCAGCATGTACTCTGCTGCCCCCTCTGCATGCCTGCCCAGAGCCGCCAGGCTGTCAGCACGCCTCTTCCTCGCCTTGCTGTGTGTCGCTATCAAAGCTAGCGCTTCGTCACACGCTGCTACTGCCTCCTCGTGCCTGCATCGTGTGGGGAAAGTAGGAAGAGAGAGGGGAGGGTCGGAGAGAGAGGAGAGAGGCGCAGAGAGAAATGCGTCGAGATGTGTGTTGAACTATCAGAGTGAGGGTTTTGGCTTGAAGAACGTTGGAGTAAATGCAGTGGAGAAAGCTGCGTGCATGGAAGTGCAAGCATCAGTGCAGCAGCAACGGACCGAGCAAGGGCCACAAACACACCGGGCGAGGGCAGCTAGAGCCGTAGCGAGGTTGAAGTGGAGAGCAGCGCAGGAGAGCACAAAGGACTTGGCGGTGGAGAACGCAACACATGCTTTGCATTGTCGCATCCCAGAATGAAGCACATGCCTCATACCAATGTTATAAGAACTGAACAACAGCAGCAACGCACCGGGCGAGGGCAGCGAGCGCGGCAGCGAGGTTGAAGTGGACGGCGGCGCAGGAGAGCACAAAGGACTTGGCTGTGGAGAATGCGTGCACTGCTGCTGCCATGCACCGCTTCTTGTACTGCTCTGCTCCTCTGGCTCTGTGGCGAATTGCCCCCTCCACTCGCACCCGGAATGATTCGACCTGGGGAAAGAGAGAAGAAGAGAGTTTTCATGGGGGTGATTACATTGTAAGGTTGCTTCTTGTTATGCTCTGCGCCCCTGGCTCTGTGACTACTTGCACCCTCCACTCGCACCCGGAATGATTCGACCTAGAGGAGGGAGCGGGAGGGGGTTAGAGGGGGATGGAGCATATGAAGGTGCCTGAAGCAAAGAACCAGAAGCGGGTTGACAAGGCAAAATGCAACATGCGAAGAGACAAAATCGAACAGCAAAGAGCAGAATGAGCTGCGGGTGAGTAGGAAAGTAAAGGTGGTACCCGTTACCCTAAACCCTAAACTCTTGCCTGTCTCAGCACACCTCTCACCTCTTCCAGTGTGACTTGGGGTCGCAGTCAGAATGAAACACCAACCACCCACCGCCCCTTACTGCCGCTCCTTCTAATCAACTCAAACGAAGTGATTCTTTGGTCAACCTAAAAACTACTTGCCTGTGTCAGCGCACCCCTCACCTCTTCCAGTGTGACTTGGGGTCGCAGCCAGGACGAAGCACCAACCACCCACGGCCCCTTGCTGCTGCTGCTGTTTCCGTCCCCGGCCCCGCTCTCACTGCCCCCAGCATTGCCCTCCTCACAGCGTTCATCAGCTTGTGGGAGAGCAGCAGACGAAGAGGCGGAGGGAGTGGGGGAGAGTGAAGCGGAGTGGAGGAGGAGGTGGTGGCGGAGGGAAGAGAGGATGGAGAGAGCCTTGTCGAAGTCTCCAGTCCCCACCAGCGTTTCAGCCTGCAGAGACAAGGAGGTTGAACAGGGTTGAGACACACAGCGTGGGTATTCTGATAGTCAATTCGAGGAGGAGGAGGAGGAGGAGGAGGAGGAGGAGGAGGAGGAGGAGGAGGAGGAGGAGGAGGAGGAGGAGGAGGAGGAGGAGGAGGAGGAGGAGGAGGTGGAGGAAGAGAGGATGGAGAGCGCCTTGTCAAAGTCTCCAGTCACCACCAGCGTTTCAGCCTGCAGAGGTAGGAGAGTTGTACAGGGTTGAAGTTGACACATAAGTTGGAGTGACACAACACAACCATGTGGGTTCGAAGATGAAATAGACCGTGTGCACGTGAATGTAGGGATGCATGCCAATACATGTGCATATACGCACATGCCAATACATGTGCATATACCCACATGCCAGCACATGTGCATATACCCACATGTCGACACAGACACTGCTCGAAATGTAGGCGCTGCCTTTCTTGCATTTCTTCTCACAAATACTCAGAAACGTTGTTTCAAAAGGACGGGATTCATCATGACATTGTGGTCAACTCGCATGCAGGAAACCCTGCAGCATCACACGTCACACAAGCATACCAGACTGTACAGCACTCCACCGCTCTGCACCACATCGCACCTTGCACATGAGTAGCCGGTTTTTCCACTTTTGCAACTCACTCCCGTGCTCGTCAACCTCTCCCTCCTCTCCCCCCTTCTCTCCTCCCGCCACCCCCTCCCCACTGCCAACCTCCACTTCTCTCAACATCCCTTCAATCTCCTCCAAAGCCCCCTCGGGATCCCCTCCCTCCACCTCTCTCCTCCCACCACCACCACCTCCGCCACTGCCATTACTACCCTCACCACCACCACCACCACTACCATCACCAGCATTTCCATCATCCCTACAGCCTGCAGCATCAGGGTCACACCCCACCTCCTCACAGACTCCTCCTGGCAGCATCTGCTCCCCTTGTCTTTTGCCCAGCAGCCTGCTTTCAGCAGAGAGCAGGCGATGCAAGAAAGAGGAGGAGGCAGGGCTTAGGCCTGGGGATGAACCAATGGGGGAGGCTATCGAGGCTTTTGCTGCTGCTGCTGCTGCTGCTGCTGCTGCTGCTGCTCCACTACCCTCCTCTCCTCCCTCTGTTCCTTCTCTCCTCTCCTCTCCCCCTTCTCTTCCCCTGCCTGCTTCCCCTCCTTGCCCCTCTTCCTGCTCCCGTTTCTTCTCCTCCTCCTCATCCCCCCCCTCCTCCCCTTTCTCCCCCTCTTTCCCTTTCGCCCCCGCTTGCCCCCCCTTCCCCATGTCTCTCTCCTTCGCCCCTCCCTCACTCTCCGTCTCCCCATTCTCCCCCTGCTCTCTCTGCGCCTGCACCAGCTGGGGCAGCTCTGGGAACATGGCGCTGAGCTGGGGAGAGGCCAGGATGAACGACACTGACTCGCGTGCAAACGCCCGCTTGTCATCGTCCTGACAAGTGTTTGGGAGGAAGGTATTGGGGACGACGAGAATGTTGGAGATGCAGGGATGGTAACACAGAGGTGAGGTGGGGTGGGTTGAGCTGGGGGGAGGCCAGGACGAAACGCGAGCGACTTTCATGCAAACGCCCAAATGTCAGCGTCCTGGCAAGGGTGCGGGGAGACTTTTGAGTCGACTCAAAAGTCACCTCGTTTAAATGTCAGCGTCCTGGCAAGGGTGCGGGGAGGTTGAGTGTAGAAATGCATATGAGTGCATGTGGGTATGAGTGCATGTGGATATGAGTGTATGTGGGTATGAGTGCATGTGGATATGAGTGCATGTGGGTATGAGTGCATGTGGATATGAGTGCATGTGCATATGAGTGCATGTGCATATGAGTGCATGTGCATATGAGTGCATGTGCATATGAGTGCATGTGCATGTAAGTTCATGCATGCACATGAATGTACGGATACAGCAGCAGCAGCAGCACTCACAGTGGTCTCGAGCGAGCCTGGGCTCTGAGTGCTCTCCTCTCCACCACGAAGGACAGGAGCCCAGCCCATTCACCTTTCACCACCTCAATGAAGCAAATCCTTTTGGCACCTCAAGAATCGGCTAACGCTTTTCGATGCGCTGGCACCTCGTGATTGACTTACAGAGGTCTCGAGCGAGCCTGTGGTCTGGGTGTTCTCCACCATGAATGACAGAAGGCCTATCACCACTGTCGCCACTGACCTGCACACACAGACATACATGCATGCACGCACAGACATACATGCATGCACGCACAGACATACATGCATGCACGCACAGATGCAGAGAAAGAGAGAAATAGGTGTGCCGGAGGGAGTGGGGAGTGGGGAGAGGGAGAGCGGAGGAGAGGGAGTGAGGGTTAAAGGGGGAGGAGAAAGGGATGGACGTGGAGGGGAGAGGGGGGGATGCAGTAACGCGACTTTCTAACGAGATATCAAGGAAGCTTTGCATTCTTCCCACATGCATAGCCATGACATGAGCAGTCGCACTCTGCATGGGTTTCACTGTGCTCACCACATGGGGTTCCAGCTCTCTGCGTTGATGCCCCGTTGCATGACGTGTACAGTAGAGCGTGGCAGGGCAGGGCACGGCAGGACAGGGCAGAGAAGGGCAGGGTAGGGGAGAGGAGGGCAGGGGAGGAGAGGGGAGGGTAGACAAGCATGACGGGTGCAGTAGAGAGGGGAGGCGGGGGAGAAGGAGAGGCGGCACAGGGAGAAGAGTAGGGAGAGGGGAACATGCATCAACATGGGTGTGTGCAGAAACGAACGCGAAAGAGAGAAAGCATGCAACGCCTGAATGGTATGGGGAGTGCATGGTATGGGGAGTGCATGGTATGGGGCCACCCCACTCACACACACCCCCCTCACTCACACACCCCCCTCCACTCACACACCCCCCTCCACTCACACACCCCCCTCACTCACACACCCCCCTCACTCACACATCCCCCTCACTCACACACCCCCCACACTCACCCGGGTGGAAGTCGGAGATGGAGAGGCAGAGGCGCGTGTTGGTCTTGAGAGCTTTGAAAGGTCCTGAAACCCAGACTCTCATACACACCCAAACACGCACACCCTTGAGTTTCCACCTGGAGTGCACTCACCGGGTGGAAGTCGGAGATGGAGAGGCAGAGGCGCGTGTTGGTCTTGAGTCTTGAAAGGTGCCGAAACCCAGACACACACGCAGCTACCAGGCCAGGCACTGCACGCCCCCACTCACCCGGGTGGAAGTCAAAGATGGAGAGGCAGAGGCGCGTGTTGGCCTGGAGGTTTAAGAGATCCCAAAACTCATTCGCATTCACCCAAACCAGTCGCACTCATCCACACACTCACCCGGGTGGAAGTCGGAGATGGAGAGGCAGAGGCGCGTGTTGGTCTTGAAGCGGCCGGAGGGGGAGAGCATGAGGATGGCGGGCGGGCGGAAGGGGTAGTCGTGGGGAAGCGCAGCTTCGCCACGTACCACCCGCCGTGGTAGGGCGTGTCGGGGGGACCCTCTAATAAGAAGTGCCACTCCAGCATGTTTCGCTCGTTCACATGCACCTGAGAGGAGAGGGGAGGGGTGGGGGCCGAGGGGGAATGGGGAAGCGCAGCTTGGCCACGTACCACCCGCCGTGGTAGGGCGTGTCGGGGGGACCCTCTAGGAGGAAATGCCATTCCAACATGTTACGCTCGTTCACATGCACCTGGGGGGGACCGGGGGCGGAGGAATGGGGGAGGATACTGGGGAAGGGGTAGTCCGGGGGGAAGCACAGGGGCGCCACGTACCACCCGCCCTGATAGGGCGTGTCGAGGGGACCTTCTAAGAGGAAATGCCACTCGAGCATGTTGCGCTCGTTCACATGCACGATGCATCTGGGGGTGGGGTGGGGGAAGGGGGAAGGGGGGAGGGGGAAGGGGGAAGGGGAGAGAGCGGGATCAGGGAGAAGAGGGAAGGGGGAAGAAGGGAGGCAATACTAGGGGATTGGGGGGTTGGGGGGTGAGGGGTTTGGGGAGGGGGCTTTAACAGGAATGCCACTCCAGCATGGTGCGCTCGTTCACATGCACCTGAGAGGTAAGGGGGGAGGGAAAGGAATATAAGGGAATTGGGAGGGTGGGCGGACCCTACCAGTCGCAAGTGCCGCTACGGTTGCGACTGACACATAATACAATACATTACAATACACCACGTTGAGGTTGCTCTGCATTTGGAAGGACTGCCGGGCTTTAAGGGTTGCACATCTATGGGACACGAGGGAGGGAAGGGGGGAGGGGGGCGAGGCGGGGGAGTGGGGGGAAGGGGGGGCGGAATGAGAGGGGAGAGAATGCGAGTATCTCATATAGATTGGAGACTGGTGGGGATGCGAGAGGGAGAGAAAGGAAGGGGGACGGGAGGTCTGTGGCGGAAACGGGGAGAGGTGGGGGAGGGGGGAGGATCTGGCAGAAACGCGGCGGTACGAGGCGAGTGCTGACTCGTCTAGAAAATGCCGTTTTCAAAAAAGGTTTCCAGCGGGATGTGCGGCGAAGGGCTTTAGAGACGTCTCAGGAGTTACCAGCGGGATGTGCGGCGGAGGGTCCTTGAGGAAGGACGAGAGCTCCTTCTTGAGCTTCAGCAGACACCCCTTGCGCGCCGTCATGCTGTTGCTGCTGCTGCTGCTGCTGCTGCTGCTGCTGCTGCTGCTGCTGCTGCTGCTGCTGCTGCTGCTGCTGCTGCTGCTCACGGCGTTGGTGATGACGATGCCGCTGACGATGCTGCTGACGCTGCTGCTCACGATATTTTGCGAAGTTTACTGACGACGATTCCTGACGCTGCTGCTGACGAGGTGGGGTCAAGGCACAGAAGTCGGAGCCGAGGAGAAGTCGGGGCCGAGGAGAAGTCGGAGCCGAGGAGTCTACTTCTGAGGCGTCTCAAAAGTAGACGAGGTGGGGTCAAGGCACAGAAGTCGGGGCCGAGGAGAATCGGACGGCAGATGGGTGTCGGAGATCGCGTCGCGCAAGCGGGCAACGGTCCGGCGACGGAAACGGGGCGAGCGTAGAAGCCGCGCGCAGCGGTCAATCGTCTAGCGTGAAGCACGCGAAGCCGGTCAGCGCGCACGCTGTAGCCGTTGTAACCGATACGCTGGCTGGGAAAATCTTGGTTGGAGTCGTCAGTTATTTATTTTAGATCCGATCTGACATGAAATGCGTGGAGTGGGTTTAGAGGCGGTGGATTTCGGTTTTGTCGCTTGCGGTCGCTGGATGCATCAAGGATAGTTCACGCGCGGTAGAGGCAACCATGCGTTATACAGCAATGGCGTAAGGTACGCACATGGGTTCCATCTAAGTACCTCTACACTGGCCTCCCCTATTTTGTGGTAATCCAATCCGTCTGGGGTTCATTTCACATTCATGATTGCATCCTTTCATTTGTAGCACAATCTATATAAAATGGCTTTACAGTGTGCATGTACCAGCAAATGAAATGAAAGCAAAAAAAACAACCGTAAACTTCACCAATAATTATCTACACAAAACCAGGTCGGGATGACATTGTTCCCAAGCACCCATCTTAATCCCTCCGTACACCCACACTTCCGTACGGATGCACACTCCCACATGGTAACCCTAGCCCACCCATACACATCCCTCCTACTGGCATATGCCCCTCCTCTTCCCCCCCATGCTCCTCCATGACAAGACTTCCTAATCCCATTTGTTCCAATGTTAACTCCTCCCTATCCTCCTCTTCCTCCTCTTCCTCCTCTTCTTCCTCCTCATCCCATCTGTGACCCATCATCACCCCTTCCAACCCAATCTCCTGCTCTCGGTACCGGTACTCATTCCTCTCCTCCCCATCGTCCCCCTCCTCCCCATCCCCCACATCCTCCCCATCCTCCTCGTCCTCCTCATCATCACTCTCTACCATCTCCCCGGAAATCTCCTCAAGCGATCTCCCTTTGGTTTCTGGCAGCAGGAAGGTACACAGAAACCCCACGCCCGCACACGCCATTAAAATAAACATCGTATTCTGCACACCAATCCCGGGCGGATATCCCATACTCGAAACAGTCCCAGCCGAAGCAGTCTCCTGCAGAGGAATTTCCTGTGACGCGTACACAAACCCAAACGAGCCCACGATCGCGCCCAGCTTTCCTGCAGCCGAGCTAATCCCGTGACACGTCGACCGGAACCGCGCAGGAAAAAGCTCCGCGGGGAGGATAAACGTCGTGCTATTCGGCCCGAAATTCGCAAAGAAAAACGTCAGCGCGTACAAACACAGCAGCGCGATTGGGTTCCCCCCGCACGTCGTATGGCTAGGGTCTTCTATAGGAGGATCCGGGCAGGGTGTAGTAGCGGTGGGCGTGCAGGGGAGGGTGCAGGGGTCGCCGTGTAGCTTGGGGTAGAATCCCGCAAAGAGGCCCATGAATATGGTCATGAAGAAGAACCCCTGTAGCTGAACGAAGACTCGCCCGAGCTTGTCGACTGTGAAGACCGTCACCCAGTAGCCGGGGAGCGTGGCACACAGGGTCATGAGCGCCTGGCAGAAAGAGGGAGCAGGGAGAGAGGAGAAGATAAACAGGAGGACGAAAACAGGGGTTGGGGGTGACGCGGGGGAAGATATTGTATATGTGTGCCTCTAATTGCATGACGGTCGGCCAAGCTTGTCAACTGTGAAGACTGTCACCCAGTAGCCGGGGAGGGTGGCACAGAGGGTCATGAGTGGCTGGCTGGCAGGAGAAAAGGGTAGGGAACAGGGAGACGGGGATAGGGAAGACGGAGGTGCTTGAGAGGCTAAGCATGTGGCATTCGTTCCTGCTGCAAACCCCTTGGCCCACCTCTCTCCCTTTCCCCCTTTCCACCACTCACCGTGGCCTTGCACAGCTCGTACATCTCTCTCAGACCGTTCATGCTGTCTGTCACCCCGACCGACAGCCTCCCTTTGCCCGCCTCGCCCTTTTCTCCCCTCCCCCCCCCCCTGCCTGCCACTCACCGTAGCTTTGGAGAGCTCGTACATCTCCTGCAGCGCGTTCATGCTGTAGGGCGGCGCGACCCACCCAATAGCCGTGAACAGGTCCCGATTAAACAGGTTCTGCGAGTAGTACGCTATGTCCACCAGGAACCAGCAAGCAGCCGTGGCCAGCAGGTGCACGCCGTGGTGGTGCAGGAACTCGCGGGACAGCAGGCTGTATGTGCGCACTGGCGCCGTTGCTAGCTCGATTTCCACGTCTGCTTCTTCAAAGGCCGAGCGCAGGACCTGGTGGTGGGTAGTGGGGGGAAAGGGGACGGCAGAGGGGTGGGTAGCAGAAGAAAGAGGGACGGACGAGTGGGAGGCAGAATCGCAAAAGCTCGATTTCCACGTCGGCATCCTCAAAGGCAGAGTGGAGGATTTGGTGGTGGGAGGGAGGGAGGGCGGGCGGGAAGGAGGGTGGAAGAGGAAAGAGGGATGGAGGAAAGGAGGTACTCGCTTTAGCCAGCCCAAGTCCCCAGAATCAAACTCCCAGCCCCACCCCTCCATCCAAACCCCCCCAATTCCACACAATGAAACCCACAGACCCACCCCAGCTGCCCCACCCAATCCCACCCCACCCCACCAAAACCCACCGCACAGCCCCCCACCCACCTGGCCCATATCCCTGGCAGCTTGCTTGGCATTCCGCTGCACGAGCGCTGTGAACCGCGGGCTCTCCGGCATGGTCATGCAGAAATAGAAGGTGAGTGCAGCCGGCACCGCCCCTACTCCTAGCACCACCCCCCCACCCTCCCATCCCGACAGCCCCCCACCCACCCACCTGCCCCATGTCCCTTGCAGCCTGCTTGGCATTCCGCTGCACGAGGGCCGTAAACCGCGGGGTCTCCGGCATGGTCATGCGGAAGTAGAAGGTGAGTGCTGCGGGCACTGCCCCCGCTGCCAGCACCACTCGCCACGCGTAGTCGGCTTGGGGGGGCGTGGAGGCAATAGCGCCCTCGTCGAAGGGCGGCGAGGGGAAGGCTGCGTTGAAGAGGGCCCCTATGGCCATCGTGAATAGCGCCGCTGCTAGGATGCCCATGCCCTGGCGGGGTATGGGAAGGGATGGGGTGCGGTGGGGTGGGGGCAGGTGGGACCCTCACTGTTGGCATGGTGTGATGTGACGTGATGTGATGTGATGCGATGCGATGCGATGCGATGCGATGCGATGCGATGGGATGTGATGAGATGTGATGAGACGTGATGAGATGTGATGAGATGTGATGAGATGAGATGTGATGAGATGTGATGAGATGTGATGAGATGAGATGTGATGAGATGTGATGATATGTGATGAGATGAGATGTGATGAGATGTGATGAGATGTGATGAGATGAGATGTGATGAGATGAGATGTGATGAGATGTGATGAGATGAGATGTGATGAGATGTGATGTGATGAGATGTGATGAGATGAGATGTGATGAGATGTTGATGTGAGATGTGATGTGATGAGATGTGATGAGATGAGATGTGATGAGATGTGATGTGATGAGATGTGATGAGATGAGATGTGATGAGATGTGATGTGATGAGATGTGATGAGATGAGATGTGATGAGATGTGATGTGATGAGATGTGATGTGATGAGATGTGATGTGATGAGATGTGATGAGATGAGATGTGATGAGATATAGCACGCCTCACCTGCATGGCAAAGACAGCAGCAATGAAGCCTCCTCGTGTCTTGGTGTTAGCGTACCTGCAAGGATGGGGCACATGCAACACATAGTAACAACGCCGCATCACAAGCACTCGCTACTGTATCAGAAGCAAATCCCACGTTCGTCACTAACATGCTCGGTCACGTAGCCAAGAATCCACTTCCGTCACTCACTCACGTCTTCCCACCCCATGCCACACCTTGCCACCCCTTGCAACGCCTTGCCGTGCTTACATGCAGGTACGAGCTGAAGAGGGAGTGTGGGGCGGAGCACAACCGCCCGCCACAGGTAGTCCTTCCCGGACACTGCTTTGTCATACGCCTTGATTTTCCTTGACTTGCCTTGACTTGCCTTCCCACGCCTTCCCGCATACCATACAGTGAATAACCCCTTCTCGCTCCCCACCTCTCCCCTCTGCACACACTCGGACATGATAACCCCATCTCTTCTCTCCCCCTCCCCCTTTCCCTCCCCTCTCCCTGCACTCACTCCGACATAATGACAGCAGAGAGCGGATAGTCCCCCCCAACGCCAAACCCCAGCCAGAAGCGGAAGAAGCAGAGAGTGGAGATGACAGCCGTGGAAGAGGAGCCGAAGGAGAGAGACTAAACCAACCATTTCTACCCACATACCCTCCAGTGGATAACCCCTTCCCTTCTTTCTCCCCCCCTCCCCCCCCGTGCACTCACTCGGACATGATGACAGCAGACAGAGGGTAGTCCCCCCCAACACCGAACCCCAGCCAGAAGCGGAAGAAGCAGAGAGTGGAGATGACAGCCGTGGGGGAGGAGCCGAAGGAGAGCGACTGCCCCACTGCTGCTACCATCATGATGATGAGCGTTATGCCGTACACGCGCTTGCGCCCCCACCTGTCACCCAGGCGACCAAAGAATAGCTGCGAGGAGGGGGAGGGAGAGGGGGAGGGTGGTGGATGGAGGGAGGGGGGGAGATGGATACAGGAAGGGAGAAGGATAAGGGTCGAAGATTTCCGGAAAAAAATACAGAGGGTTGGGCCGTGAGAGACAGAGGGGGATAGAATCATGTCACACGGCTGCGAGCATCATGATTTTGAGTGTTTTGCCGTACGCCCGCTTGCGCCCCCACCTGTCACCAAGGCGACCAAAGAAGACCTGTGATTGGGCAGGTGGGGAGATGGGGAAGAGGGACAGGCGGGTTGGAGAGAAGCTGAAAGAGAGAGGGATGTAGGAAGCGAGAGGAAGGGGAGAGCGGCGGGGGGAAGAGCGAGAGAGGAGGAGAGGCGGGGGGTACAACTGGGTGCAGGGAATGGGGTCATGGGAGTTGAATTGAATGGGCTTGGAAAGAAATGGAAATGCTGAGAGTGGCAAGCAGAAGCGACTTCACCCATGCCCCACCTACCCATGCCCGAGCCAAACCATGCCCAGCCAACCCATGCCCAGCCAACCCATGCCCAGCCAACCCATGCCCAACCAACCCATGCCCAGCCAACCCATGCCCAGCCAACCCATGCCCAGCCAACCCATGCCCAGCCAACCCATGCCCAGCCAACCCATGCCCAGCCAACCCATGCCCAGCCAACCCATGCCCAGCCAACCCATGCCCAGCCAACCCATGCCCAGCCAACCCATGCCCAGCCAACCCATGCCCAGCCAACCCATGCCCAGCCAACCCATGCCCAGCCAACCCATGCCCAGCCAACCCATGCCCAGCCAACCCATGCCCAGCCAACCCATGCCCAGCCAACCCATGCCCAGCCAACCCATGCCCAGCCAACCCATGCCCAACCAACCCAGGCCAACCCATGCCCAAGCCAACCCATTGCCCAGCCAACCATGCCCAGCCAACCCCATGCCCAGCCAAACCCATGCCCAGCCAACATGCCAGCCAACCCATGCCCAGCCAACCCATGCCCAGCCAACCCATGCCCAGCCAACCCATGCCCAGCCAACCCATCCAGCCAACCCATGCCCAGCCAACCCATGCCCAGCCAACCCATGCCCAGCCAACCCATGCCCAAGCCAACCATGCCCAGCCAACCCATGCCCAGCCAACCATGCCCAGCCAACCCATGCCCCAGCCAACCCATGCCCAGCCAACCCATGCCCAGCCAACCCATGCCAGCCAAACCCATGCCCAGCCAACCCATGCCCAGCCAACCCATGCCCAGCCAACCCATGCCCAGCCAACCCATGCCCAGCCAACCCATGCCCAGCCAACCCATGCCCAGCCAACCCATGCCCAGCCAACCCATGCCCAGCCAACCCATGCCCAGCCAACCCATGCCCAGCCAACCATGCCCAGCAACCCATGCCCAGCCAACCCATGCCCAGCCAACCCATGCCCAGCCAAACCCATGCCCAGCCAACCCATGCACCAAGCCCACCATCGCCCAGCCAACCCATGCCCAGCCAACCCATGCCAAGCAGCCAACCCATGCCCAGCCAACCCATGCCCAGCCAACCCATGCCCAGCCAACCCATGCCCAGCCAACCCATGCCCAGCCAACCCATGCCCAGCCAACCCATGCCCAGCCAACCCATGCCCAGCCAACCCATGCCCAGCCAACCCATGCCCAGCCAACCCATGCCCAGCCAACCCATGCCCAGCCAACCCATGCCCAGCCAACCCATGCCCAGCCAACCCATGCCCAGCCAACCCATGCCCAGCCAACCCATGCCCAGCCAACCCATGCCCAGCCAACCCATGCCCAGCCAACCCATGCCCAGCCAACCCATGCCCAGCCAACCCATGCCCAGCCAACCCATGCCCAGCCAACCCATGCCCAGCCAACCCATGCCCAGCCAACCCATGCCCAGCCAACCCATGCCCAGCCAACCCATGCCCAGCCAACCCATGCCCAGCCAACCCATGCCCAACCAACCCATGCCCAGCCAACCCATGCCCAGCCAACCCATGCCCAGCCAACCCATGCCCAGCCAACCCATTGCCCAGCCAACCCATGCCCAGCCAACCCAATGCCCAGCCAACCCATGCCCAGCCAACCCATGCCCAGCCAACCCATGCCCAGCCAACCATGCCCAGCCAAACCATTGCCAGCCAAACCCATGCCCAGCCAACCCATGCCCAGCCAACCCATGCCCAGCAACCCATGCCCAGCCAACCCCCATGCCCAGCCAACCATGCCCAGCCAACCCATGCCCAGCCAACCCATGCCCAGCCAACCCATGCCCAGCCAACCCATGCCCAGCCAACCCATTGCCCAGCCAACCCATGCCCAGCCAACCCATGCCCAGCCAACCCATGCCCAGCCAACCCATGCCCAGCCAACCCATGCCCAGCCAACCCCATGCCCAGCCAAACCCATGCCCAGCCAACCCATGCCCCAGCCAACCCATGCCCAGCCAACCCATGCCCAGCCAACCATGCCCAGCCAACCCATGCCCAGCCAACCCATGCCCAGCCAACCCATGCCCAGCCAACCCATGCCAGCCAACCCATGCCCAGCCAACCCATGCCCAGCCAACCCATGCCCAGCCAACCCATGCCCAGCCAACCCATGCCCAGCCAACCCATGCCCAGCCAACCCATGCCCAGCCAACCCATGCCCAGCCAAACCATGCCAGCCACCCCATGCCCAGCCAACCCATGCCCAGCCAACCCATGCCCAGCCAACCCATGCCCAGCCAACCCATGCCCAGCCAACCCATGCCCAGCCAACCCATGCCCAGCCAACCCATGCCCAGCCAACCCATGCCCAGCCAACCCATGCCCAGCCAACCCATGCCCAGCCAACCCATGCCCAGCCAACCCATGCCCAGCCAACCCATGCCCAGCCAACCCATGCCCAGCCAACCCATGCCCAGCCAACCCATGCCCAGCCAACCCATGCCCAGCCAAACCCATGCCCAGCCAACCCAATGCCCAGCCAACCCATGCCCAAGCCAACCCATGCCCAGCCAACCCATGCCCAGCCAACCCATGCCCCAACCAAACCCATGCCCAGCCAACCCATGCCCAGCCAACCCATGCCCAGCCCAACCCATGCCCAGCCAACCATGCCCAGCAACCCATGCCAGCCAACCCATGCCCAGCCAACCCATGCCCAGCCCAACCCATGCCCAGCCAACCCATGCCCAGCCAACCCATGCCCAGCCAACCCATGCCCAGCCAACCCATGCCCAGCCAACCCATGCCCAGCCAACCCATGCCCAGCCAACCCATGCCCAGCCAACCCATGCCCAGCCAACCCATGCCCAGCCAACCCATGCCCAAGCCAACCCATGCCCAGCCAACCCATGCCCAGCCAACCCATGCCCAGCCAACCCATGCCCAGCCAACCCATGCCCAGCCAACCCATGCCCAGCCAACCCATGCCCAGCCAACCCATGCCCAGCCAACCCATGCCCAGCCAACCCATGCCCAGCCAACCCATGCCCAGCCAACCCATGCCCAGCCAACCCATGCCCAGCCAACCCATGCCCAGCCAACCATGCCCAGCCAACCCATGCCCAGCCAACCCATGCCCAGCCAACCCATGCCCAGCCAACCCATGCCCAGCCAACCCATGCCCAGCCAACCCATGCCCAGCCAACCCATGCCCCAGCCAACCCATGCCCAGCCAACCCTATGCCCAGCCAACCCATGCCAGCCAACCATGCCCAGCCAACCCATGCCCAGCCAACCCATGCCCAGCCAACCCATGCCCAGCCAACCCATGCCCAGCCAACCCATGCCCAGCCAACCCATGCCCAGCCAACCCATGCCCAGCCAACCCATGCCCAGCCAACCCATGCCCAGCCAACCCATGCCCAGCCAACCCATGCCCAGCCAACCCATGCCCAGCCAACCCATGCCCAGCCAACCCATGCCCAGCCAACCCATGCCCAGCCAACCCATGCCCAGCCAACCCATGCCCAGCCAACCCATGCCCAGCCAAACCCATGCCCAGCCAACCCATGCCCAGCCAACCCATGCCCAGCCAACCCATGCCCAGCCAACCCATGCCCAGCCAACCCATGCCCAGCCAACCCATGCCCAGCCAACCCATGCCCAGCCAACCCATGCCCAGCCAACCCATGCCCAGCCAACCCATGCCCAGCCACCCATGCCCAGCCAACCCATGCCCAGCCAACCCATGCCCAGCCAACCCATGCCCAGCCAACCCATGCCCAGCCAACCCATGCCCAGCCAACCCATGCCCAGCCAACCCATGCCCAGCCAACCCATGCCCAGCCAACCCATGCCCAGCCAACCCATGCCCAGCCAACCCATGCCCAGCCAACCCATGCCCAGCCAACCCATGCCCAGCCAACCATGCCCAACCCATGCCCAGCCAACCCATGCCCAGCCAACCCATGCCCAGCCAACCCATGCCCAGCCAACCCATGCCCAGCCAACCCATGCCCAGCCAACCCATGCCCAGCCAACCCATGCCCAGCCAACCCATGCCCAGCCAACCCATGCCCAGCCAACCCATGCCCAGCCAACCCATGCCAGCCAACCATGCCCAGCCACCCATGCCCAGCCAACCCATGCCCAGCCAACCCATGCCCAGCCAACCCATGCCCAGCCAACCCATGCCCAGCCAACCCATGCCCAGCCAACCCATGCCCAGCCAACCCATGCCCAGCCAACCCATGCCCAGCCAACCCATGCCCAGCCAACCCATGCCCAGCCAACCCATGCCCAACCATGCCCCAACCCATGCCCAGCCAACCCATGCCCCAGCCAACCCATGCCCAGCCAACCATGCCCAGCCAACCCATGCCCAGCCAACCATGCCCAGCCAACCCATGGCCCAGCCAACCATGCCCAGCCAACCCATGCCCAGCCAACCCATGCCCAGCCAACCCATGCCCAGCCAACCCATGCCCAGCCAACCCCATGCCCAGCCAACCCATGCCCAGCCAACCCATGCCCAGCCAACCCATGCCCAGCCAACCCATGCCCAGCCAACCATGCCCAGCAACCAACCCATGCCCAGCCAACCCATGCCCAGCCAACCCATGCCCAGCCAACCCATGCCCAGCCAACCCATGCCCAGCCAACCCATGCCCAGCCAACCCATGCCCAGCCAACCCATGCCCAGCCAACCCATGCCCAGCCAACCCATGCCCAGCCAACCCATGCCCAGCCAACCCATGCCCAGCCAACCCATGCCCAGCCAACCATGCCCAGCCAACCCATGCCCAGCCAACCCATGCCCAGCCAACCCATGCCCAGCCAACCCATGCCCAGCCAACCCATGCCCAGCCAACCCATGCCCAGCCAACCCATGCCCAGCCAACCCATGCCCAGCCAACCCATGCCCAGCCAACCCATGCCCAGCCAACCCATGCCCAGCCAACCCATGCCCAGCCAACCCATGCCCAGCCAACCCATGCCCAGCCAACCCATGCCCAGCCAACCCATGCCCAGCCAACCCATGCCCAGCCAACCCATGCCCAGCCAACCCATGCCCAGCCAACCCATGCCCAGCCAACCCATGCCCAGCCAACCCATGCCCAGCCAACCCATGCCCAGCCAACCCATGCCCAGCCAACCCATGCCCAGCCAACCCATGCCCAACCATGCCACGCCTCCTCATCTCCCTCACCATGCCGAACAAGGTCCCCAAAAGGATGATGCCCGTTACGACTGAGTTGACAGCCGCAGGCAGAGCAAGGCACAGCAAGGAACGCTAAGGCACGCCATGCCCCAAGCCCTCTTCTCCTTTCCTCACCATGCCGAAGGCCCCTATCAGGGCGATGCCTGTGACAACCGAGTTGACAGCAGCAGGCATGCACGCCAAGCCACGCCAAGCCTATCCAAACCTATTCAAGCCACGCTCCCTTGTGTCCCTCGCCATGCCAGGCCCCTATCAGGGCCATGCCTGTCACGACTGAGTTGTCGCCAGCAGGCATGTTCAGGCACACCAAACGAACTCAAGTCATGCCATGCCCCGGGCCCTCATCTCCTTCCCTCCCTCACCATGCCAAAGAAAGCCCCTATCAGGGCGATGCCGGTGACAACTGAGTTGACAGCAGCAGGCATGCTTGCACGCAAGGCACGTTAATCCACGCCACGCCACGCCACGTTAAGCCAATCCAAGCCAATCCCCCACCCCTCATCTTCCTCACCATGCCAAAGAAGGCCCCTATTAGGGCGATGCCTGTGACAACCGAGTTGATACCAGCGGGCATGCGCCCAGGTGTGTCGCTGCCAGGGGTGTAGTAGTAGATGCGACCCAGGAGAGGGGCCACTCCGGATATGCTGTAGCGGGGAAGTGGGGGGAAAGGAAAGGGGTGGAGCATAGGGGGGCGGGGCGGGGAGAAGAAAAGGGAGCGGGAAAGGGGAGAGAAATGGGGAGAGGGAGGAACACGTGGGGCAGAGAGCAGGTCAGTGTGAGTGAAAAGGGTTGTTGTAGCGGTAGACGCGGCAGGGTGGACGGGGAACATGCTCTGAATATGCTCCTGCAGGGAGATGGGCGCGGGTGGATGGGGAGATAGGGGACAGAACGGAACGGAACGGAACGGAACGGAACTGCGAGGGGGGTTGAGGAGAGAGTCCAGGGTGCAGCAAGAGGACTGCAGTGGTTCTGACAAGACTCGTTTCTGAGTCGACTCGCACCAAAATATATTAATAATTACGGATTCCAGAAGAAAAGGTGGTTACGAGACAGCGAGGCGGTTACGCGAAGAGGTCGTAGGCGTCTGTGAAGAACCCGAGGCCAGCAATGACGATGGCTGTGAAGTGATACAGCTGCATGCGCGCCTGATCCAAACTGCGCAGCACCCCCACCGCCATGCTGCTGCTCCCTGCTGCAGCTGATGATGATGGTGCTGATGATGCTGATGGTGTTGGTGATGGTGTTGGTGCTGGTGATGATGGTGATGCTGCCGCCTACCGCACCACGCACCCACACACGCCCTTCCGTCAAAGCTATGAACGGAATAGTTTAGATCCAGAGCGAGCCTACTAGCTAGATTTGAACCCACACACGCCTTTCCTTCCTGCCCCTCCCAAGCAGTTCCTCTTCACTCTCTGCAACCCAACCCCTCCTCCCCCTAATCCTCTCCCTCCCACCCCACCTCTACCTCCGTCTCCCCTTCCCACGCTCTCGCTCTACCTCCGTCGCCGCAGCTTGCTAGAGCAAGGTGACGTTGGCACCTCGCTTCGTGGAATGGACACAAACGGACGGCATCTCAGGCAAGCAGCAGCAGTAGCAGGGCAGAAGTAGCGGCTGCTGCGGCCAGATAGGGCCGTGTGTGCCCCCTAGGGAAGCACAGGTGAGGCTCTTAACGTCGATAGCCCTCGTTCCGTCACCACAGGAACCTCCTGACCAACCCCTTCCACCGTCAGGACGCACTGCACGTCACCGCATTACGCCGACCTTTCCTCCCCACTCAAACCGGTGTGCTACAGTGCTACACGCTCAGAAGCCACCACACAAACCGGTCATGCAGTCTGGTCACCCTGCCAGAACTCCCTCCCTCCGAGCTCGCTCGTCTAATCTTCCCGTGCAGGCGTCAATCCATGTTCTACTGAGAACATTTCAAAACGTGCTAGTCCCTGTAACGGACCATCCCTGTAGCGGACTCTGTGACGTTTTCTGGTCCGGTTTCTGTAACGGTTCCTGTCGGTGTCCAAGTGTGCCTGTAACTGTTGCTCGTTCCGAAACCGTCACCGTCACCGTCTGTCAGCACAAGCTGAAACGGCAACGTTCAGAAGCCTTACTCCCTATGGCTCGAGCGTACCCGTTATAAGGTGGACAGATTCGACTCGCTGGAACGGATGCTCTTGTGATTATTCTATCAGGACTTCCGTCCACTATCTGTTGCTGGAGGGCCAATGCCTCCACTGCCAGACATCCTTGGAATAATATGTTCACTAAAAAGTATGGCGCGAAGACGGGACTAGTAGCGCCCGAGGTTGAGAGCTTGAGGGACTTTGAGGTGAGTATAACGGCGTCGGGTCGCGATGCGGAAAATGGACGATGATGTGGCTGGGCGGTCTTGGAGTGTGGTCGGTGGTGGAAAATTCTGACACCGAAAGCACTTCTGAGCGCGTTTAGAGAATGTCCGTGTCCTTAGTACAAGTATTTACTTTTATTCACAGTTTTCTGGCAGACATGTAGCTCGCTTTCATTTACTTCTTAGCTCTATGCTGGCTAGAAGTGCGCTACAACATCTCATTTAAGTATTTTCTGTTTTTTTTTACGATTATTGTATATATTGTACACGCTCATTTATTTTTTATGATGATTTCCCATAAACATTGGTCCCAACCCAATGCAATTTTGAATACAATCTTGTGACAATTTGTAGAGACCAGAGTCTTCTCATATAAGGCTTATTATGAATATGAAATATATCGCACTCGTTTAATGCATTTTATGCTGGATGTGGTCTGATGATTGTCTTTTGTGAAATTAATTAGCTAGATGATGAATGCCACTTATCCTTGAATTGGAGCATTCATTCTCTGGGGGCTTCGCCTCCACTTCAAGGCACACTTGGAATCGCCGCGTGCCTGGACCTAAACGGCTCAGATCATACAACGTGGCAAACAGCCAGCGGGCCTCGACGTGGCATTCTTCGAGGTTCTGGATTCCTGGCTCTTGGAGTTTCCGCAAAATTCCCGCCACTTTTTTGCCTGGAACCTCCGAATTGATCATGCACCGCACCACACGCCAGGACCAGGATTCACGGCCCAAATTCGCCAATCCAGAAGCTCCGCCTGCCCCCTCCAGGATGACCATCCAGGATGCACCATCCAGGATGGAAAAGAGCGAGTACCATGCGTAGTAGTGAAAAGACGCAGAGGGAACCTAGAGATAATCCAGATTCTAGATCAGAGCCCATTCTGATCAGACACAAACACGCGCGCACAACAGCAGGCATTCTTGTACAGTTTTGCCAAAGGGAGTGCCGAGCTGAGCCGATCCGGGAGAGCCCAGCTCCGCACTTCTACCAGGTGTGTAGTCGAACCGTCGGAGCGCTTCTGGTCTGGTCTGATTCGCAGCGACAGGTCTAAGTGTGCAGAATATAAAGTGGACCAGAAGGCGGAAGGCTCACGAGCCCCCGACATTGCATCGTGATCCGCCGCCTGTGTGTGCTGTCTAGCAACGGAATTCAGGCACTCGAACTGGAGCACACGTTTGTTTGGAGACCAGTGACCAGTACTTTGGGCTATTTCGTTCTCTGAAAGAGGCTTTCTTCCTGGAAATACAATATAAGTGCCTGGTTTCGGCCCCTAGTGCAGCGTAGGCATCTCTCTCCGAGGCAGCATTCGAATCTGACCAGCTAGCTCGTATACTGACGAAGTTGGCGACTACTCGCACTCTCTCTCGCTCTACTTTGTGACATGGCCTCAACAGCCACTCAGTCGGTGGTGTCTGGGAGTCTCTCACGCGCGCCGTTCAGCAGCAGCAGCCGCGGAGCCATGGTAAACGCCATTCTCGAAGGCGCTCGTCCGTTACGCCTCGCGCGTCGTCTCTCCCCGCTCCTCCCGTCTTCCTCCCCCCAACTCCCCGCTCTCCGCCGCAACTCCCGGAGGCCGTCCGTGTCCTCCGTCCATTCGGCCCTTGCCTCGTCCTCACCTTCTAAAACACTCGGTGACAGCACACCTGCCACTGCTACCACTACAATTACCAAATCCACCGCTTCGTTATTCCCTTCAACCGCCGCTGCTGTAGCCGCTGCCTGGCTGCTGCTGCTTCCGAGCGCGCCCGCCGCGTATGCTCTGGACGGACCGTCTGCCCCGCCCTCCACGGTCCCGGCAGAAACTACAGCACTCGAGCAACCACAGCGGCAGCAGCCACCGATAATGCAGGTCTTCAGAGGAATGACTGCGCCAGAAATTGCCGACGCGCCATCGTCGGCGGAAGCGGAAGCGGAAGCGCAGGCGGAAGCGGAGGCGGAGGATGGGGAGTGGCGGTACAGCCGCTTCCTGGCGGAGGTAGACGCGGGGGAGGTGGAATCTGTGGAGTTCAGCACCACGGGGTTTTCGCTCGTGGCCACCACCAAGAGCGGCGATGAACACAAGGTGTGTGTGCAGGCATCTGGACCGTTGATCTATCTAGTTTGCAGAATCCACGTCCTCCTTGACCTCTCTGTCCGCTCGCACACATCCCCACCTCCGATCCTCCCCAACCCCTCCCTTCTCCCTTGTGATTCACTGCCTCCTTACGTACCCATCTTCCTTCCTCTCCCCTTACCCCTCTCCTCACCCTGCTTCCCGCACTCGCACTGCTGCGCACACCGTCCCCGCACCCTCTCCCCCCGTTCCCCGCACCCCTCTCCCCCCGCGCGCGCTTCTTCCGCGCTTCCCCTACGCAGGTGATGATCCCGACGCTCAAGGGGGTATCCACCGATCTAGCGGACACGCTAGCGCGCAAGGGCGTGGAGACGAAGGTGGACGCGGGGCTGGACCCCAAGGTGGCGTTCGCGCTCGAGCTCGTCTTCGACACCGTGCTGCCGCTCATGATCGCCTTCGGCCTGCCCTTCCTGCTCTTCAACCAGGCCAACCCGTTCGGCCCCAACGGCCCCTTCGGCAGCTTCCTCAGGTGGGTGCCCGGGAGAGGGGAGGGAGGGTGGGGAAGAGGGGGGAAGGGGGGACTTAGGGGACTATTGGGTCGAATTGGTCAGGCGGACACTCTAGCGCGCAAGGGCGTGGAGACGAAGATAGACGCGGGGTGGGACGAAGATAGACCAAGGTGGCGTTCGCGCTCGAGCTCGTCTTCGACACCGTGCTGCCGCTCATGATCGCCTTCGGCCTGCCGTTTTTGCTCTTCAACCAGGCGAATCCGTTCGGCCCCAACGGCCCTTTTGGCAGCTTCCTCAGGTACGGGGGAGGGAGACGGGAAGTGGAGGGTGAGGAGTGGGGAGGGAAAGTGAGGAGTGGAAGTGAGGGGAGTTATGGGTCGAACTGACAATTACGGTTTCAACCAAATGAATTTGTTCTAATCCAGTGGACTCGCCAGAAGCCTCCTCAGGTGTGTGGGCGGGAGAGGGGAGAGAGGTTGGGGCAGGACTGGAAGCCGGGTTGTGAGGGGACTTGTGGCTTGTGAGGGGACTTGGCCGCTGTTGTAGCTTCCCTGGTTGAGTGGGCGGGAGATAGGAGAGGGGAGAGGAGAGAGGGTGGAGAGTGAGGAGGGAGAGGGAAGAGGAGAGAGGGTGGGGAGTAAGGATGGACGAATCAATGGCCGGGGTGGACAGTAGCAGGAGCGGCATTGGAGATTATGTAAGAAAATCTCGTGGATGATCGAGACGTTGCTAAACGATACATTGAAAAGAAGTGTCCACGTGTTTGGCACGTGTTTCTTGCAACGTGTTTTGCTCTTGTTTGCCACGTGTTAGAGCTCGTTTCGCCATGACTATGCCATGCCACTATGCACTTCTAACTATTTGGCATTGCCAGCCTTCCCCCATCTGCCTCTCCTGCCAACTCTCTCCCT